GGGTATACCTCAGTGGTGGATTCTTCTTTTCTTGAGTTTTGTAATTTATTTATTTCTAATTGATGCTGCAGCAATATGGTGTGGAGTACACATTCCTACCATTTTGCCAAGTCAAAACTACTCTGGTGCTTATTATAGCAGATCCTGTCTTGCTGTGTTTGGAAAACACCTCTGCAATCAACAAAAAACTCGGAGCTCACATGACCACTGCTCCATCATAAATAAAACAGCATCGCCTTTGGAATTTTTTATTATAAGTATTTCTAATCAATGCTAGGCATCTTTAAAGATACTGAATTTGGTTTTCCATTTTTTATATTTGTGGCAGCTTAAGAGGAACTGACAGTGTGATTTCAGCAGCCAAGCAAGAGTTCATTATCTTTACTGCCTAAATCCACAGTCTGTCTATCCAACCTGTACAAAGCTGAACTGCTGTTAAAATTTAGGGGCATCTGTCCAGACAGAGGAAGCCTAGTGTTTCCTGAGCTCCAAAGCAGCTATTTTCTGAAAGCTCTTTAGCCATGTATATTCTGCCTCCCACCATCCATTTACATAGATCTTTTGCTGTAATTTTACCATTGTCATGTGGGCTTGAAGAGATACAATACTTTTCTTTAAGAGATCAAATCACCCTTTCCATGTTTAAAAGGATCAGGGAAAAAAAGAAAAGTCATGGGAGTCCTCTTACAATAAAGTACCTCAGCGCTCCAAAATTCTGGATCCTTAACTTCCATTTGAAAATTGTTAATTTCCACTGAGTGGCTCTAGAATTGCAGGCTGCTTTCTGTCACAGTAATTAACAGGTCCCTACACTGCCATGTCTGTGCATTTAGTGATCTGTGGAGTATTAACATGATAATAACAGCAGCCTGGGATAGCACCACTCAGATACAAACAACTGGTGGGATGCAGCTAGAATCAATACTAGAAGTTGTGTGAAATTAATTTATATTCACAGGGCAAGCTCAAATTTGCATGGGCCCTAGCACTTACTAAAGCCAGCATTTCTAAGAACAAGTTAAAACTAGTAACAAGACACTCCATAAACATGACTGACAGTGCAAGCATACTTCACTCGTTTTAACACGGATGTGAAACTACAGCCTTAAACCATCAACCAGGGATACTGCGGAAAGTCCCATCTTTCCCCTGTTGTAGGAATGAATAGCTGGGGATAGGGGAGTGCAAGCTTCGTTTTTTCTAGAGCTAAATCTGGCTTTATGTTGCTTATAAAGGGATAAAGCGTAATCTCAGCACTGATTTCTGCACCACCACCAAGTGTTCCTGCTTCTTGCAACCTCAACCCACCTTTCCCATTTGCTCTCTTTTACCTTGTGTTATTAATTTTGTGGCAGTCTGATCTGGCTAAAAAAAAATTATTTTACTACTGTGAAACTGGCTTTCTTCAAGATCAGTTTTTGCAGTGGTGCAAACCTGCATTGGCCTGAGTGCATGCATGGTTTCAGCACAGCAGGGTAGTAGGTAGTACCTTGTGTTTCCATGGCCTTTCTCCACCAGGCTAGGCAGCTGAATTCCACTATATTTCGTTTCATCCCTTTCCCTTTTTGCCTCTGTACTCCCTTATTTTAAAGCATGACATCAGTCATGATGATGATTCAGGATGCCATACTAAAAACATAAATAAATAAAGCTGAAATGTTTTTTTTGCTTGTGCTCAGAGCCTGAGCTCATTTTCATCTTCTCTGTGTTTCACACTCTCTAATTAATTTCTTTGCAGATGTGCAGCATTAGGATTCATAGCCAGATGTATTCTCTGTCAGGGGAAAAAAATCTGCTTAGACTGCAGCCTGTCACCACTTCTCTGATGTGTCCACAAAAGGCACCTACAGAAATATTGTTAGTCTCTTCAAATCATATGCAATGGGATTGTTACTCTCTCCTCTGCCTGAAGAAAGTATGAAAAACTGAAGAAAAAAAAAATAAAGACAACTATCAATATTGCTACAACAGGCAGAAATTTCACTCTGCCAGTAATACCAGTGCAGCAATTACAGTCACCTATTACTTCAAGAAAAAAGAAAGGATTTGCAATTCATGTTAATATTTCTTTGCAGATAACATGGTGATTTGCTTTCAAACGTAGAATTCTCAAAGCACTTTCTAATGGGAAAATTGATGCAGCAATACCAAGTGTCTTATGCAAGGCTACATGACGATTCAGTGCCAAAATAAAGATAAACTCTACTTCCCCATCCCTGAAGCCCACTTCTCCTACACCATTACTTATCTAATATCAATGTACTTTTCTTACTGTAGAGCTTAGTGTCTACAACCACGAGAAGTTTACACTCATCTTCACTGTTCAAATGTAAACTAAATGCAGAAAACCTGTTTTTTTTATAAACTACATAATTCACATTTAGACAAGAGATAAGTAGTGAAATTCCACTGAGTTTGATGCCTGATCTTTAAATTCAGCAAATTAAGTATCATCAACTTTTAAAACCAGAGTTTAATTCCACTCATCCTCCAAGCTCTTGTATAATTGTTACATATTGTGTGGTCATTTACTTTTATTGGAGCTCTGCTTCTCAGAAGCTAAAACTACAAACCAATACAGAGACATTAGTCATTTCACGTTCGGCATTCTTTTCAAAAATCATTAATAGAAGTTATCTAAAAGGCAAATTTTAGCTGGCTGAAGACTACATTTTTCAATGTGAAGCTATTCAACTGCCTAACATTAAAGACATTTTGAGGAGGGCGATTTTTGTGGTTAAATTCGGAGGGTATGACTCAAATTAAAAAAAAAAATCACGTCAGGTCTGTTGTGCCCTGCTAGGACTTCTGTATGGGCCTGTTCAAGCTGCTTAAGACACAACTCCTCAGGGTACAGCAGAGGTGAGGGCACCTGAAGGACTACAGCTGTGTCGCTACATCAGAGGGATCTTTTTCCTTTTTAGGCTGTAAAAAAATAAATGCCTCTTACATCTAAGTGACTATGGCGATTTTCATTCAGACTGGATTGCAAAAGTAACAGGAAATAAAGGTACTTGCCGTATACCTGTAAAACTACATGGAGCTTAAACAAGAACGTTTTCACTGTTTTGCATACAGTATGTTTGGATACTAAGCAAATTCTGCCACTATTTTAAGCTTAAAAGCCCCTCCATAAAATGATGCACCTGGCAGAACGCAGTTTCCCCAGCTACCCACAGCTGGGGCTTCTTCCGGCTTCCTCCACAAGCTGCGCTTGATTTCCCAGCCAGCCCTGGGGCCGGTTTGGGGTTGTTCACTCCCCCAGAGCGGCCTGGCTTACATGCGCTACTCTTCCCAGGGCACACCGCACCGCGCTCCCCGCCGCGGCGGCAGCTGCCACAGCACCCAGAAGG